CTGTGTAATCTGTCCACAGTTGTACCGTCGTCGTCTTTAGAGTGCACCTCTTACTTAGCAGTATCCTGCCTGCCACGTGTCACCCTGGAGTGCCAACATAGCAATGTTGCCACGTCAACACTCTGTCCAGTCTATCAATAATGGGATGCCACGTCAGCAAATGTGTAGTCCGATCCTTGTCACGTGCCTCTTCCAAACGTCGTGAGATACCGTCGCCGTTCCAGCTAGTCAGATTATGCCTCGTCAGCCAAGGAGTTCAATGCCACGTCAGCAGGCAGACACCACCGCATAAGACAGGTGTGATGACCTGCTCCTGCCACGTCAGCAATCGATCTTCCTTCCTCCAGGCCACGTCAGCATCTGCAATAGACCCTGTTGCGTGTCAGCAACACAAGTAGTGCCACGTCAGCATCAGTAACAGGGTCTTCAGACGTGGCACAACACATGCCACGTCACCAAGGGATCGCGATGCCACATCACAATCGCGATCCAGGCTGGTGTGCGGTATCTCCTGTCGCAGTCCCTCGGCCACGTCAGCAACCTGGTAGGGATCTCTTCCTACCAATGAACCCTGTACCTCGTCAACAGTCCCGGCAATGTCTTCTCGCCAGTGATTTGTCAACAGGCCTCTGAAGTATATCCTCGCCCATAGGTATGTGCCATGTCATCACCCTAGCGTATCCCTTGCCACGTCATCACCTACTCAACCTCACTTACCTGCGCGCCACCTGGCGCCTACTCATATACAAATGTCGTCATCAAGAGATTAGCTCCGATACCAAATTGTAATGAACCCAGATCGTGAGACAGTTGTCAACAATGCAAGTCCAGAAAAATGTCCATCGGCTGATGATTACAAATAGTCAAAAATCGTGACCAGACAGATTGAGGTGAGATATCATACACAGACGAAGAGGGAGGAGGGAGAAGAGACAAAGGAGAGGTAGTAAAAATGCCCACTCCTGCTTCGGGCTCCCTCCTCTACTGCCACCTCATCAATCAATAGTCTGAACGAGTATCCGTGTATCCTCAATGTGTCAAGCCGGCGTCGCAGCGTCAAGCCAGCGTCGAAGTCAATGCGTGAAGTCAGCATCAACGCAAGACAGAATGAATGTCCAAGCCAGGAAGTCAACTCTTATGTAGTGTTGACGCGGGGTCTGGACCCCGGGTGCTGTATCCCTCGGCCGTCCAGATCTCAATGCGAATGAGGGCTCAGATCGGCCTGAAACCGAATTCCCTCCGGCCTGGATGCTGTCTGGGTACCTGCGCACAACAAGTGAGTGTATCCAACCCAGGGCCTGGGTGCGGTACCTTTGACTCTATAGTTGACTTTGACTCTTGAATTTCCTGTGTGCGGCATTCGGTCACACAGCCACACCCGACAGACTCAGGCCTGGGCGTGTCCTGGTCACACAGCCCAGCGCAGACCTGAGAAGCAGACCTTCTCAGGTCTGCGTGGCCTGGGGCTGAGTTCTGGGCCCCAGGCTACTTCTGAACAGGGTTATTACAGCTTGCTTGAACATACACACTGAACAGACCATCACTCTCAGTTCCTCTCAGTCTGAAAAGAACTGTTGACTGAAAGAACAGTAAGAACTGACCTGAGAAATCTGGACTAGATACAATCTTTTTTTTTTCTTAATAAGCAAAACAGAACCTTGAGGTTCTGGCTCCATATCCATTCTGGGGAGTGACCGTCCGGTTCCTTGTACGCCAGCAAGCAGTGTTGCCTACCCCGACGGTCGGCGCTCCTTGACTGGTCAGCTGGTCGACACCTACCAGTCAGGGGTTGTCGGCACCGCACGCGCAAAACAAAACAAAAAAAAAGGGTCCAGAACCCCCAATAACCCCACCAACACCCTTGTACCCACTCCCTATACCCCCATACACCCCCTCAAAATCCCCAAACCGCCCCCCAACACCCTCACATCACTATACCCCCCTATACCTCCCACTATACCCCCATATCTACAATGTCGCCGGTGACATCAACAGCTTTCCAAAGTACGAGCAGATCTAGGCCAATGCTTTTCGCATCAAGCACCAGGTATGTCCCTCGCTTCACTCACAACCTAGATCCTCCACACAGATGCCACATGCACCCGAAGTCCACCATGCACCCCATCCAGCAACGCGCAGGCCAGCCCGGCTATGGCTGCCTTCGTCCACCCTGCTCGCCCATGAGCACGTAGGCACTCGATCCAGCAGCTGGCGCAGCAGCGCTTGTGCATAAGCAGCGAGTGCCCGAATGTCTGGCCAGCGGCCAGGCCCTTTCCTTTATGGAAAGTGGCTGCCAGTCGTGGGCTGCCTGGCTGGCCTGGGCCTCTCCCCGAAAGCTTCTGCTAGGCCCCAAGTGGCTGAGCCCCTGTCCCAGGGTATTTTCCGCAGGGCCTGGGGTGGTTACCCGTGTCCAACTGCCAAGCGGCCTGTGTTCAGTTCATGCCCTGTGTCTGGCCCAGGGCCTGCCTCGGATACATCTCTAATACTATAAAGCGGGTCTCGCGAGACACCGCTCCTGGGTGCGGGACGATTGTCGGTGGGCCCAGGGGCGGTGTTTAATTCGGCGGCCGTGACCGGAAGTGCGGGGAGCGGTTACGGGCGGGTGCAGGCTGAGGGGCGGCAGTTCGTCAGGCGGCGGGTGGAAGTATGTGGAGCGGTTTGGTGCCAGTGTGAACGGTTTCGGGCGGGTGCGGGCCCAGGGGCGGCAGTTTGTCGGGCCGTGGGTGGAAGTGTGCGGACCTGAATCGAATCGCTTGCGCATTCGAAGTCGCCCAAGCGGTTCGTTTGCCGGGCTTGCGCATTCGAAGCGATGAGAGGCTTTGTTCGCTATGGGAGTCTTCGTTCGCTGTGGTGAGCGTGCATGCATCACCACACCGCAATCGAATGTGTGTGTTATCTATTGTATATATGGTGTGCTGCATGGGAGGGGACAGAGCACAAGTGTAGTGGTGAGGAAGGGAAGCAGGAGGTGTCGAAAGTCATCGAGTGACAGTCGCACCGAGAGTACAACGCGACTGCGGCGGGGAAGGTTGTCGCGAGGGGTAAAGGAGGGGAACAAAGTGGTGAAGAAGGGGAGGAGGGACTGTTAGCAGTCCATCCAACTGTATGTTAGTCAGCAGCGATACGACATTGGCGACATGGCTGATCAATGTATGTCTCTCTCTGTCTTTCTCTCTATCGATTATTGTGGGACGTGCATGATGTTGCTTTTTTTCTTTTTTCTTTTTTCTTTTTGCAATCTTCCGTCACCGAAGTGTGATCTGGATCGCGATCCCCCACTCGATCACGAAATCCGATTGCCTAATTTCGTGATGCACGGGATGGGGGGAGGTTGGGAGAAACACGGAAATCCGTTGGGGAGTCGGGTGAGATTGAGAGGGGGGGAGGGGTAATGCCCTGGGCGGGGAGGATTCTCGATCGTGAGTGGATGGGGAGGGAGGATCGACGGAGAGGGGAAATTGATTCGGTTGCTGACGTGGCCGCACGAAGACGGGTAGCAAGAAGATGAAGAGGAGCCAGGTTGGCTTGCGTGCGAGGGAAGATGCGCAAAAGTGCTGCTGATACGAAAGGGACTGTTGATCGCGAGAGCTAAGACCGGGAGATCAACGGGGAGGGGGGAGGGGGGGAGCGAGACACGAAATCACGATGGGGAGTCGGGTTAGATAGCGGGGGGGGATGGCGAATGCTCTGGGGGGTGGAAGGACTCTCACTCGTGAATGGATCGGGAGGGATGATCGACGAGGAAAGGACGTCGGGATCACAAGGGAAATCGGGATGGGCAGAGAACTGGGGATGATGAGGGAAGTCGGGTTGGGGAAAAAAGTCGGGATACGAAGGGAAGTCGGGATGGGAGGCAAGTGGGGATCCGAGAAGGGATGGGGGAGAAACGTCGGGATCGAGAGGGAAGACGGGACGGGACACACTACTGTAGCATCCTGTATCTGACCGCGATATGGAGGAAATGGTTGTTTTGCCTTTTTTTTTTTTTTTTCATGACCTCACGGCAGACAGAGGGCACGTTGTCCTTACGGCCCCATGGAATGTATCTCGCCAGCAAGTGTGGGACGTGCATGATGTTGCTTTTTTTTTTTTTTTTTTTCAATCGGCCGTCACCGAAGTCTGATCTGGATCGCTATCCGCCAGTCGATTACGAAATCCGATTGCCTGATTTCCTGATGCACGGGATGGGGGGAGGCAGGGAGAAACACGGAAATCCAATGGGGAGTCGGGTAAGATTGAGAGAGAGAGAGAGAGAGAGAGAGAGAGAGAGAGAGAGAGAGAGAGAGAGAGAGAGAGATGCATGAATCACAATAGCAGACAGGGTACACTCTTCGCGCGTGGCGCGAGGAAAGACAGGGCAGGCGGGGGGGGCTGATGTCAGAAGAGTGGTGAGCGCAGATGTATGGAACATGGCAAGACAGAGAGAGAGAGAGAGAGAGAGAGAGAGAGAGAGAGAGAGAGAGAGAGAGAGAGAGAGAGAGAG